TATAAAAAACTCGTGCCTTTGCTCGCAATTTGGAATAATTTCTCTAGTCATTTTTAGGTGATGTTCTCTAGTTTTTATTTTATTTGACGACCCAATACAAAGGACATGGGGTTCACTCCATGAGACAATGTCTATATTATTAATAATTTATAATCTCCCATAATGCAACGGATTTCTAAGGAGGTTTTTTTTTTTTTTTTTTTTTTGTTGTTGTTGTTATTTAGGTGCCCCAAGAAGTACTTACAGCCTTGTTACAGAGCACCGCGGAAGTGCATTTAACCAGGAAGTTCACGCCTCCTTCCTTACCGTGACGCGAAATAAGTCCAAGGCTCGTTTCGAACCTGGATCTCCTGCTCATAAAGCAAGCGCTCTAACCACTGCGTCACGGCCGCAAGTTCAGTACACTCAAACAATCTTTGTATGACATATGACGGTACAAAAGTTAATGAACGTTAAAACGCTTAATGAGTTTAAAAACAAATTGAAGCAAAATCTATTGATGAACGACGCAGCGCTCAGCTTTTTCTGAAGTATTATTGATTGTTACTAATAAGTAATTAGAGGTTTGTCATTATCAGCTTGACGATCTTAGAAAGGATCGTGTCACTTGTTACTGATTCATTTCTTCTTTTATAAAAACTTATGATTTATAAAATTCTCCAGATAATTTAAGGTATCTGCTGGTGTAAAAGGAAAGCTTCAGGATTATGCGTATTTGCCTGCATGCTTTTTAATAATAGAGTTTTTATCATGCTAACCATTTTTTTTTCTTTTTTTTTTTCTTTAAATTTGTATTTAAAGTTTTCATAACCAATACAAAACTAAAAAGTTAAAGTTAAAGAACGTTAAGAACTATTATTTTTATTTATAAAATCTTAAGAAAGTGTTTTATATTATATTGTGTTACGTTTTTTTTTTAATTACTTTTTTTTTACTTATATACAAATAGCAGGGGCAAGAAGAAGACATAATTTGTCATATCACCAAGCCCCTTAATCTATATCGTAAATATAAAATAGCGTAATAAATTAAAAAAAAAAAACGTAACACAATATAATATAAAACACTTTCTTAAGATTTTATAAATAAAAATAATAGTTCTTAACGTTCTTTAACTTTAACTTTTTAGTTTTGTATTGGTTATGAAAACTTTAAATACAAATTTAAAGAAAAAAAAAAAGAAAAAAAAATGGTTAGCATGATAAAAACTCTATTATTAAAAAGCATGCAGGCAAATACGCATAATCCTGAAGCTTTCCTTTTACACCAGCAGATACCTTAAATTATCTGGAGAATTTTATAAATCATAAGTTTTTATAAAAGAAGAAATGAATCAGTAACAAGTGACACGATCCTTTCTAAGATCGTCAAGCTGATAATGACAAACCTCTAATTACTTATTAGTAACAATCAATAATACTTCAGAAAAAGCTGAGCGCTGCGTCGTTCATCAATAGATTTTGCTTCAATTTGTTTTTAAACTCATTAAGCGTTTTAACGTTCATTAACTTTTGTACCGTCATATGTCATACAAAGATTGTTTGAGTGTACTGAACTTGCGGCCGTGACGCAGTGGTTAGAGCGCTTGCTTTATGAGCAGGAGATCCAGGTTCGAAACGAGCCTTGGACTTATTTCGCGTCACGGTAAGGAAGGAGGCGTGAACTTCCTGGTTAAATGCACTTCCGCGGTGCTCTGTAACAAGGCTGTAAGTACTTCTTGGGGCACCTAAATAACAACAACAACAAAAAAAAAAAAAAAAAAAAAACCTCCTTAGAAATCCGTTGCATTATGGGAGATTATAAATTATTAATAATATAGACATTGTCTCATGGAGTGAACCCCATGTCCTTTGTATTGGGTCGTCAAATAAAATAAAAACTAGAGAACATCACCTAAAAATGACTAGAGAAATTATTCCAAATTGCGAGCAAAGGCACGAGTTTTTTATAAATGGAACATTGAAACATTTTAATACATTACCGGCAGAAGTTGTATGCTCTTGATCTGTTAAAAGTTACAAGGCTCAGCTCAATGCGGAAATTTTAAATAACCCATATAAGTATCAAGATTATAAACTAAATTAAAAAAAAAGAAAAAAAAAAAAAGGAAAATCAATAAAGAACAAATTTATACTTCATACTATATGTCTGTGTAAATTTTTATTTATATAAATAAAATTAAAGTATAAGTAGATGAGGCCATAACCTGTAGGTTTTACAGGAAAACCTGTTGCAGCGTTTTTCTGCTGCTACTACATTAGGTTTTTTATTTATTAATTTATTAAAAATATTTAATCAACTTTATTTTTATATTTTTTATACTAGCTTTTAATTGTTTCATTTACCCCGCTTACCTTTTTTTACGTAAAAAAAAAAAAAAAAAAAAAAAGGTATAAAACGGTTTGCTTTTCTCTGTACTTTCTTGATTTTATCAATATCTATTGTTGACGATGGATTGCTCCAACTTTTTTTTTTCGTTTTTTTGTTTTGATTGTTTGTTCTTATTACAATATACTATGGTACAGGGTTGGACTTGTTCACCGGGATGCCGGGGTAAGCCCCGGTGGGCCGCTGATATCTTACTTACAATGGGCCACTAATGTTAATTGCAGTTGCTGCTATTTAGGTACAATAAAGATATATGGAAGAAAAATTATTTGTAAATTAAGATAGTGGGTATCACAGAAATATAAATTACATATTTAGATAATATATAATTTATTTATGTTACAAAATAAAATAAAAACAACCTATTGTTAATTGAGGTACTTAAGAGTTAAATAACACATTATTTATATATTATGTGATTTTTTTAAAGATTTTATAGAGGGCCGCTAGAAATATTATCGCCCGGGCCGCCACAAAGAGCTAGTCCAATCCTCCTTTGGTATAAATATCGTTGTACATTAAATATCAGAACACAGAAACTCAAAGAGGATCGTAAGATCCTGTCTTTAACAATGCAGTAAAAATTTAACAATGCAGTAAAAATATAACTTGTTAAATAATTACAATAAATGACGTTTAGAAATAAAATTTAAATCTAACCAGATATTTCAAAACTTAAAATAACGTTTAACAACATAAAGGATATATATAAAACTAAATATTTCAAAATAAAACAATATATTCAGGAATCACACACTTTTTTAAGAACTCAAAGATATTATCAATTGACAAGATTTTTCAGCTTAATTTTAAAAGTAAGAAAACTCCAACTTTGAGAAAAATCAAAATTTTTCAAAACTATTTTATTCCACAGAAGAGCTTGGCGATATGTTAAAAGAGATCTTCCAAAACTTGTATGAGAATAATGTTGAAGAAAAAGATTGTCGTTTTTTTAAGTCATATTTGTTTTTTAGTTTTATTGCATATAAATTTTGAAAGGATATAGGAGTTAAGAAAAGATAGCTGCTACTTCGAATTCCAGATCAGTTCGTGCAAAAGATGTGTATAGAATTTTAAGTAGTTGCGGAGTCATGTGACTAAAAATACGATACAACATGCCTAATACACGGTTGGCTTTATTGGTTACATATGTTGAATTGTTATGCCATTTTAAGTCTGGTGTCATCATGATGCCAAAATCACGTTCGACTAAAGTCGATGCTAGTTCGACACTATTATTGTTATTAGTTGGCATTGAGTAGACATAATATTATTTTTACCTAGGTGCACGATTTTACATTTATCGATATAGAGTTTCATTTTCCAGGCTTTACACCGTTCAACCATGTTGTAAATATCAGTTAGAGGTTTTTGTGAAGCTAATGGGTGGTCTACATGGACCAGCAGTTATGTGTCATCAGCATACATTTTACACATATAAGTAATGTTCAAAACTAATGTTAATTAAAAAAATAAATAAAATGCGTATAAAAATACAATATCACAAACAAGTAACAATATCACCAGCAGTAAATAAACAAAATATGTATGATGCATTAATTTGTACCTAATAACAAAACAATAGTGAACTTTTATTAGGTATAGCTTTACAAAATAAGAATTTCATTTAATCTCTTGACTTCAGGCTTGATGTTATCCTAAGTCTATCGTATGCTATCTATAAACATCAAAAACTCTTTTGAAGCCTTATAAACGGAAAAGTTGTCAACTCATACATGTTGTTAAGACAAAACAAGCAATATCGATTTTAACAACGCGCTCAGAAAGTGTTCGAGAACAGCTAATAAAATTATTGAATAACATGACACAATAATTGTAAGCAACGTCAAGTGCTTACAATTATAGTGTCATGTTACAATTATTGTGACATGTCAAAGCTCAAACTATTTTTTAATAGCATACACGCGTTGTGCAAAACCTAAAATCACAGTAAGAATTAAAAATTACCCAGGAATTTATTTTAAGTAATAAGGTGCCCATTGATGATTTTGTCTTAGGGTCTCATTACATTACTAAATTAAAGTTTTAAACTAAAACACAAATTTAACGGGGTTCAAAACTAGACCTAAAAAAAAAAATTAGATAACTTAGATATTTCCCTGGCGTGTATATATATATATATATATATATATATATATATATATATATATATATATATATAATATATATATATATATATATATTTGAAATTAGTTCAAACCCGCCTGTTTGTCGAATATGAAATTATTTGCCACAAAAATAAGATTAGGCGGCAATACCCATGATGCAACAGTTCTACAAAATAGAGAAATACAAAATTAAAGATAAAGCTTTTTACTTAGTTAAAAACTGTTTTTTTTGTGTGTCTGTTTTTTTTATACTAAAAATGATTAAATTTACGACCCCATTTCGGTTGCTACAATATTGAGAAGTAATTGATAAAATTATGCGAGTAAATTAAAAATTATTATATATATATATATATATATATATATATATATATATATATATATATATATATATATATATATATATATATATATATATATATATATATATATATATATATATATATAGACACACACACACACATATATAAATGTTAATGAAAATTCTGCAATACAACACTCTCTGAATTTTTATTTTAAAAAATGTACATATAGCAGAAAATTTTTAAAATTAGAAAATAGATTATTAAAAAATAAAAAATTTTTCGTGATATTTACAAAGTAAACACAAAGCTTAAAAAGGTCGAGCAGCTTTTTAAAAAGTTTGTTAAAAAAATTCAACAATTATTAAAAAGGTCGAGAAGCTTTTAAAGCTCAATTGAAAAATTATCCAATCATAACCAAAATATTATTTTTAAAATTACTAATGCAATCTCAAAAGACTTTATAAAAAAAGTTTAAGTTAAGTTTACAAAGGTAAAGCTGCAAATAAACCTGTAAAACCTGCAAATATATCTTTTAAATACATTATAAAAAATATGGCACATAACTATGACATCTTTGCTCTGTGATAATTACTTTAATTTAAACTGCAGATTTGAATAAAATTTCATTCGTTTAATGAAACATTACGTGTAAGACAAAAACGATAAAATAGATAAAATTGTAAAAAATTCAGAATAAATTCGTAAGAAAAACTGTAAATAATTTATACATAATATCAAATTAATAATATCAAATTATTATCAAATACAAGAAAAAAGCTACAAAAATAAAAAATTTAAAACTCTAAAACTTCGTTTCCTGCAATTTTTCTATTTTCTACAATCTTACCTGAAAACTTATAAAATAGCAACTAAATACAATGTTTTTCTAAAATAAGTTAACATCAACCATCAATAGTCACCGACAACTATCAATAGTCGCCGACAAACCGTTAAATCAACTATCTACGCTATTTGAAGAGAAAATGGGAATATTTTTATGACGTCCAAAATTATTCTGAAGAGCCGTAACACAACTTTCAGCAGAACTTATTGACTCAAGAAAAGGTATTAAATCCATCAATTCGGTATCATCTTGATCATCAAACCATGAGGTAACAGGAACCTAGTGATAAAAAATTCAAAACTTATTCAAATACTTTCTTTTACTAGTGGAGTGGAAGAATATAATTTTTTTTTAAATCAAAAAAGTGAGGCTCATTTTACAAGAACTCAAGAAATTTTTTATACCCTAAAATTGTTAATTTTAGATTCATGACTTGTTTTTAGGTCATATTATATTATATTGGCATTATGTTATTTAAAAAAATTATTCAACCATAAGTTTGGGCTAATAATCATTTTATAAATTTGGACAAGTAATAAATTTATATATAATTTTTAATAGAAATTTAATATGAATATATAATTTTTAATATAAATTTGGACAAGTAATAATTTTGGATCTAAACAATATAACAAATCAAGATAACTACAAAAATGTCAGACTTTTTATTTAATCATAAATTTAATTTAAAAATTTAATCATAAACAAATCTATTACATATTATATTTATATAGTTAGTGTCTCTTAAAATGTTATACAAAATTGATTATGATTGAATAATAAAAATATCTTATTGCAGCTTTCATTGTTTCAGAAAGTTGTCTCTAAAAACTTCTATTTTAGAAAGTTGTCTTCAAAAACTTATGTTTCTTATATTGTTAAATAAAATTATAATCTAATATTTCTTTTCAAACAAAACGTACACTAAATTATGTTAAAAATAAGCTGGCATCTCTAAAAGTCAATGGTAGCTGTCAATGCATTGATGCCTTTCATCAATAAGGGATTCAGTAAAAGTAATAATTTAAGTAATGCTTGTTCAGAAAAAGTTTATTCTAGTAAATTGAATAATTTGCATACCAACAATATTAAAAAAAACTTACAGCATTTTCAGGATGAAATATATATGATGCTGGTGAATTGTCTATAATGATGACGTTATGGAGATCACGGCCTAGTTTGCTCAAATCCTGAAATATTAAAATGTTAATCAAATATATAAGTTATATTTATAGAAATATTACATATAAAATATTATAATTGTTAAATTCATTAAAGAATGAATGAAATACCAGAGCAAAAATTAGCATAAACCAAACAACTTAAACAAAAATAATTCAAAAATAAGGAAATAAAAACCACAAAAACAAATTCAAAAAACTTAAACCCATATAATATCTACAAAAGAATATATATATATATATATATATAATATTTTTAAAGTTTTTAAGGTTTGGTAACAACACCGATATTAATTTTCAGGGGCTTGATGAGTTGCTTAGCAAGAAATCGAACTTTATAGCGGGTTGATGCCATCATTTTACAGATTTTTTCTTTTTTCATCATATTGGTGGCATTAATCCACTTTTTTTGGAAGTCCTTTTTATTATTTGTTAGTCCAACTGTTTTACGAAGAACTCCTTCAACTATTGCCCAAAAATTTTTTATCTTGCGCTTTTCAGGACGATTTGGAGGATTCGCATCTTTAGGAACAATTTTCACATTATTATCTTTGCACCACTGTAAAACTTTTTTAGAATAGTGAGAGGCAGCAAGATCGGGCCAAAAGAGACATCGGTATTTGTGTTTTTTTATAAAAGGCAAAAGTCTTTTTCGGAGGCATTCTTTGATGTAGAGATTGGCAGTCAAGGTCTTTTTAGTGACAAAACAAGAGGACTGCATACCACAGCTACAAATTGCTTGCCACACAAGGAACTTGGATGCAAATTTTTCTCGTCGAATATATTTAAATTGATCATCGACAGGTTTATCTTTGTTTTCATAGTAAAACTGTTGACCAGGAAGTTGTGAAAAATCCACCTTGCAACACGTTTCGTCGTCTTCAATTATGCACATATTTTTATCTGCCATTATTTTAACCAACTTCTTTGTCGAATTCCTTTAATTTCACAATTTAAGCTTCTCTTAGGTGTATTTTTTATGAAATGCTTTAATTCCAGCATTTTTAAGTACTTTTTTGATATAAGAACGAGAAGTCTTAAATTTTCTTGCTAGATCTCGCTGTGACTGATTTGGATTTCTTGCTTTTGAATGTAAAATCGACTTTACCTTTTTGGATTTATGGAAAGTTTTTTTTCTTCCACTTCCAAGTTTTCTTTCGAAGCTCTGAGTAGTCTTGAACTTGTTTATAATATCTATGACTGTAGATTTTGGGACATTTGTGCATTTAGCAATCAAGCAATAGGAAGTCGATGGATTTTTGCAAAAAAAATTCACAACTTTTTTACGCACCTCAACTTGTTTCCAAAATATTTTGCAAATCATTAATTTGTAAACAAAATTTTATCAACACCATTTAAGATAAGAAAGTAAGGTTTAATCAAAAAAAAAAAAAATTAAATAAAAAGCATTTGTGATTTTGGAGAAATCTCAATTTAAAGATGACCAGATTTTTCCGTGTCCACCTGATATATATATATATATATATATATATATATATATATATATATATATATATATATATATATATATATATATATATATATATATATAGATATATATATAGATATATATATATTTATATATATGTATATATATATATACATAAATATATATATATATATATATATATATATATATATATATATATATATATATGTGTATATATATATATATACATATATATATATATATATATATGTGTATATATATATATATATACATATATATATATATATATATATACATATATATATATGCATATATATATATATATATATATACATATATATATATATATATATATATATATATATATATATATATATATATATATATATATATATATATATATATATATATATATATATATATATATATATATATATGTATATATATATACATACATATATAAATATATATATATATATTTATATATGTATATATAAATATATTTATATATGTATATATATATATATATATATAAAGTATGCAAAAAAAATAATCGTACACTTGAAAAAAAATTGTAATTTTAAAGATTGCATCAAAAAAATGAGTTTCTTGTTAAAATATTTGAAATTTTTTTTTAAATATTTTATCAAGTTTTGTTTTAAGAATTTATTTTTATTGTATTGGTGAGTTAATTGCTTATCATACCTATTAAATTTTACACAATTGATCTAATGATGCATATAATTGACTGCAAAAAAAAAATCATACAGTTCAAAAATAATGTCAAATTGATCAAGCTTAATGAAATTTAGTATCGAGTGGGGCCTCCTTTGGCCTTGATGGTCTCAGCTAGACAATTTGGCATTGAGTTGACCAAATATTTGGTTTCTTCTGTTGTTATATTATCCCATGCGCTCATTAGAGCTTCTTTTAAGTTGTCTTTTTGTCTAAATGCTCGGTCACCAATTTTTCTGTCCAAAATATACCACAAATTTTCTATAGGATTCAAGCCCGGACTTTGAGATGGCCATTCCATAACATTGATGTTATTTGTGTCAAAGTATATCTTTGTTTTCTTAGCAGTATGTTTTGGATCGTTATCCTGCTGCAGTATAAAATCCTTTCCCATTCTCAATTTTGTAGTAGATGGTCGCAAATTGGCTTTCACAATACATTGAAGCATCCATTTTTTCATCAATAATTGTCAAGTTCCCTACCCCTTTCCAACTCATACTAACCTAAACCATCACATTTCCTCCTCCATGCTTTACACTACCTCGCAAACAACTTAATTTATAAGCTTCTTCTTTTTTTCGCCACACTTTTTGAACTCCATCCAATGAGACAAAGTTGTATTTGGACTCATCTGACCACAAAATTTTTTTCCAATAAGATATCGGCATTTTTTCGTACTTCTTTGCAAATTCTAATGGACGTTTCATTTGTTTTAAAGTTAAAAAAGGTTTTTTTCGAACTACTTTACCTCTATATCCTTGTTTTCTAATACGATTTCTAATTGTTTGAGGGGTTACTGTGATATTGTGATCTTCTTGAACTTTTAACGCTAATTTAGCTGCCAAAACAAATCTATTTTTCTTCACATTAATGATGATATTGCGATCAATTGACTAGTGGTTTTGCGTTTTCGTCCTCTGCCAGCCACACTAGCAACAGTTCCAATCAGATTATGCTTCTTAACAATTGAGGACACTGTCGTAAAAGGAATTCCTGTTTCTTTTTGGATCTGACGGTAGGATTTTCCTTGATTTTTTAAACCAACTACGAGGCTTCGTTGATGGAAAGACAAACATTGTTTTCTTGACGCCATTTTGCTGAAACACTATGTTTTATTTTTAGAACAAAAGTGTATTTAAAAAACTACTATTTTTAATTTTACTAACTAGTTTAATCATTCAATTCGCTCAATTTATGCTAAATAACAACATATTTTGTCAGCGTACGATTATTTTTTTTGCAGTCAATTATATGCATCATTAGATCAATTGTGTAAAATTCAATAGGTATGAAAAGCAATTAACTCGCAAAAGCACAAATAAATTGTTAAAACAAAACTTGATAAGATATCTAAAAAAAAATTTCAAAAATTTTTTTTTAGATATCTTATCAAGTTTTGCAAAAAAAAACGCAAAACTAATTTTTTTGATGCAATCTTTAAAATTACGATTTTTTTTCGAGCGTACGATTATTTTTTTTGCATACTGTATATATATATATATATATATATATATATATATATATATATATATATATATATATATATATATATATACACTAATATATATATATATATATATATATATATATATATATATATATATATACACACTTATATTATGCGATTTTTTTTTATTATATAGAGAACACATTTAGGAGGTAGAGAGCAGACTTTTCCATAAAAAATGTTGCTTTAAGAGCAAAACTTATATGTTTATATATATATATATATATATATATATATATATATATATGTATGTGCATACATGTGTGTATACATATATATATATATATATATATATATATATATATATATATATATATTTATATATATATATATATATATGTATGTGCATACATGTGTGTATACATATATATATATATATATATATATATATATATATATATATATATATATATATATATATATATATATATATATATATATATATATATATATATATATATATATATATATATGTATACACACATGTATGCACATACACACACGTATGCACATACACCCCCATCCCAGAGAAATTTAACAGAAAAAAAGCTTATTTTGCAAAAAAAAACAATATTTATTGTTAAAAGTGTTAAAAAAAGAAAAGGTTCTCAATTTTTTATTTGGGCGGCGCCCAAATCGGTTGATGTTGTTGAAAATGGTCTAGAATAGCACCTGACTATAGCATTTTATTAATAATCTATGTATTTACTGAAACCCCCAGCAGCAGACTATTTTAAAATAATAAAAAATATTAATTTCTTGTAGGGTACAAAGTGGGCTTTGTACAAATTTATGTAAAAAACACATGGTAACAAATGGTCTAGTGTTATAACAAAAAAACAGTTGCTCAATGTCTTACTTAAAACATTTGTTATTATCGTTTTTATACTGAAAAAAATATGCTTTTGTAAATTAATTTCATTTTTTAAACCAAGAGACCGTATGTCCATTTTTTGGACATACGGACATAAATACATCTAATGTGGTATAATAAATACATCTAATATGGTATAAAAAATACATCTAATGCGGTTTAATAAATACATCTAATGTGGTTTAATAAATACATCTAATGTGGTATAATAAATACATCTAAAGTGGTATAATAAATACACCTAATGTGTTATAATAAATACATCTAATGTGGTATAATAAATACATCTAATGTGGTATAATAAATACATCTAATGTGGTATAATTAATACATCAAATGTGGTATATTATTAAAGATAATAAATAAAGTAATAATGATAATGATATTTTAACATACCTTTACATAATTTCCTTTGTAATAAACACAAGATTCTCTAAATAAACGTGATCGAAAACATGTAGTTTTATCCAGCAAGTCAGCAACAGGATCTGCATACTTTAATAAAAAAATACAACTCTCCGAATTTTATCAATTGATAATAATTGATTCAATTTTACTTCATTTTTGGTAGAATAAAAATAAAATAAAATTTTTATTTCTAAAAGCCTTTTTAAAATTTTATAAAAAATCTTAACTTGACATTAAAATTTTAACTTTTTTAATCAAACTAAATACTCCTTTACTAAAAAGTTTTTTTTTATTTTTCATTATTATTTCATATTTTTCATATGTAGAAAATACTTCCCATAGACCAAATTACTTATCATAGACCTGACACAGGGTCTCAAAGATTCATCAAAACTCATTAAAAACAAATCTCTTGCATTTAGGCAGAGTTTTAAATGAGTTTTTAGGTTTTCTCTTACTTTGAAAAAGAACTATTTTCTAGGTTTTAAACACTGGAATACTACAAACAAAAATAGACACTACTTTATATGTTTGTTGTGAATCATAGATCACAACAAATGAAAAAGACACTATTTTTGATAAATAAAAAAGTCACTACTTATAAGGTTTCTTGTGAACTCTGTGTCAGCTTAGGTACACTAATGTGCAATTGATATTTTAGTGATTTTTAGTGTTTATTTTAGTATGATTTTGTTAGTGATGTTTTGTAAAGTACTAACCTAAAAGATGTGAATTAAATATATTTATTAAGCAATAAAAAAAGTTCAATGTAAGCTCAAAAATCCTTTTTTCAAGCTTTAAAAATAATAAGTTATACCTTTGCTAAGCTGGCAGTAAATAATACACATTCAAATAACTCTCCCATTCTTTTTAAAAACTTGTCTACAAATGGTCTTTTTAATACATATACCTGTAAAAAAAATTTAATACATATAAGGTAAAAGTTTCATAAAAATTACCCTTATTAACTTTTTTCCTTCACTAAGAAAATTTAATTCAAGAAAATGAAATAGTTCATTCTTTTCTTTATCATTTCCATAACTTTATCTGATATGAAATCTTTTTTTTTTTTGTGGATTTTATCGTATCTATACTTTTGCTGTATCTTTAATGCACTAATGGATACATATAAGATACATATAGTTTAAGGTAATAAATAGTAAAGGGTTTAAATACCAAATTTGTGGCAGCACTATGGTAATAATAAATTAATAGACTAATTTTAGTACATACATCTTAGAGGTATGTACATATTGAGAATTATGAATATATATTTGTATCTAATTTTTTGCATTTTTTGGTCATTTTGTTTTACTTTTACTTTATTTTTTAAATTTCAGACTTTTTAAACATGATTGCCACTATCTACTTTATTTGGAAGTACTTTTTATTTTTTTGTTACTCCACCTGTCTTAAGAAGAACTCCTTTAACTATTGCAGGCTTGGCTAGGAAGGCGAGCGATTTCACGTCATAATATGACCACGCAAATACTATTTAATTTTACTTAAATTGACCACGGCTATTAATATGTTTTAAAAATTTGTATACGCTTTTAAAAAGTGCAAAAAAAAATTATCTTAATTATAAAGAAACTTTCAAAAAAACTTAACGTAAAAGAAGCAAAATCTTACTATAAAAAATAACCAAAAGTAAAATAAAAATAATTTAACTAAAAGTAAAATAGCAGAAATAAAATTAAAACTTAACTAAAATAAATAATAAAATATTTTTTTTTAAGAAATTAATTAAATATTAATATTTTTATAAAAAATTATTAGCAGTGATTTGTTACTTTATTTAAATGTGTTTCAATAATATAAAAACGTAAGTAAAGATCAAAGTTATTTAATTCAAATGACTTTCAAAAAAGTCTGTCTTTTTTTTTCTTTTCAACAAAAACTTTAAAGATTCTTGTATAAAGTTTATTTAATAGACCTTTGTTGTTTAAAGTTGTTTTTTTTTAAACTTTTATATTTTTTTTAGTTTTACTTATAAAAAAATTTTATATAACTAAATAATATAAATAAAAAATTTAAACATATTTAAATTGATCAGGATTATCTTTGTTCTCATAGTAAAATTATTGATCAGAAAGCTGTAAAAATTGGCCTAGCAATATATTTTGTTATCTTCAATTATGCACATACTTTTATTTTCCATTATTTTAACCAATATCTTTGCGCATTGAATTCCTTTCATTTTACCACTTAAGCTTCTCTTTGGTTTATTTTTCTAATGAAATCCTTTAATTCCAGCATTTTCTAGTATTTTTTTATTTTTTTGCTAGATCTTGCTGTGACTGGTTTGGATTTCTTGCTATTGAACTGAAAATTGACTTTTTGGATTTATGGGAAGTTTTCTTTTTTTCCACTTCCAGGTTTTTATTCCAAACTTTGAGTAGTCTTAAAGTTATTTATAATATCTATGACTGTAGATTTTGAGACATTTGTATGTTTAGCAATCAAGCAATATGATGTTGATCTAAATTGTTTGAACTATTCAAACATTGTAAATAGAGCAATTTTTAACAACATATTTAATATTTCTGCTTTCCAGAAACAGACACTTGTTTAGCTTGTGATGAGTTCGCTGCAAATATAAAATGCACTGGCTAAGACCTTTCAAATGCAGTTTCAAAAAGAGTTACTATATATTAAGATAAATCTCTGTCCATCGAGTATAACCTTTATGCAACAATTGGTAAGTAAAGATTCAATAGTCTTTAAGATGTTACCTGATACACCATAAGAAGAGAATTTACGGAGAAACCAACAGCATGCCAAACTATATCAACTGTTCTAAAAAAGTCAAGAGCGATCACCTTACCCTCTTCACATCTATCTAATGCAGGATAAAACCTATTGGTTTGTACCGTTAACGAATCAGCAGTAGAGAGAGAAGATTGAAATCCATATTCATGATCAGAAAGTAAGTTATTAGATTCAAAATGAGAGATAACATGTTTGTTAATTAAAGACTCAAAAACATTGCTTATGATAGGTAGTCATTAGGTTACTTTGTTTTTAGGTAAGGTAACAAAATCTGAACCATGCAAGAGAGGAGGAATAACAGAATTACTGACACTGTTAAAGATTCTCCAGAAGTCTCTAGTGTTTAAGAAGTCTCTGGATAATTTTTTAAATAAAATATGAGATTTTGTGACCTGAGAATAGTGGGCTTAGGCGTTAGACAAAACCTTTTTACAATGGTTTCTAGCAATAGTAAACAGACATTTATTTTCTGGAGAATTTTTTTGACAATAGATATAGAAGTAATGGTTACGATTGGAAAATGCAGCAGCATATGGAGATGAAAACCAGTGAAACTTGATTTCGAATTTTCAAGATGGAAAAAAAAGATTACATGCCAGCCTGAATCCAAGATGTTACATAAAAAGCACATTCGTCAGCAAGAAGAAAAAAGGTTTCTACCCAAGAAAGAAAATCACGGAAAGTCCAAGCCAGCTTTGAGTATGTTAGGGGGATTCTGATGATGAAGAAGAATGAGATAATAGTTTTAGAGAAATCAAACCATGATCAGAAGCACCTAAGGGTGAATGTGGAAAAACTGAGCACTGACTAGGATCAGAAACAAGACATAAGTCGAGTAGAGAAGGTAAATGATTCAGATTGTCTGGAAAGCAATTTGGAAAGTTGACTATTTGTGTTAAAGATTGAGAAAAACAAAAGTTGTGAGACTTAACAGCTGCAGAGTCACTGACACTAGAACCAAGCTAATCAGTGTGATGAGCATCAAAGTCACCAACAACAATGATGTTAGCGAAAGGATAGAGAAAGGGCACTTAGTCAACTTGATCAGAAATAATATAAAGAATTCTTGTGAAGAAGGAAAGTGAAATATAGAAAAAAAAAAAAGATGATAGAGAGGAAGCGAGTTCCAAAGAACTGATGTTCGAGGAGAAAAACTAGAACATCAAGAAGAGTGCAGTCTTGAGATGAAGTGAAATATAGAAATGATAGATGATAGAGAGAGTTGGTACTAAACGAAAGTACATAAAAGAATAGTCTGTGGATTCAAACCTTATTTCCAAACAAATAGGTGAATTCTTACAAATGTAAATGCTCAGACCAAGCATGTGACTATCGGAGTCTTTACGAATTAAAGGAAGATAACCATCAACATTAAGATCACAAGATGAGACAGCTGAACTCAAATAGTCTCAAAAAGAGCAAGTAGATCTGGTGAACTTTGCAAGAGATAAGACTCAATAGAAGAAAAGTTTATTTGAAGGCAACAAATATTGTGAACGATGATGGTTTTTTGTGTTTTATAGATTTGATACTTGGTCATTTTTAAATTAAGTAAAGAACTTGACTCAAAGTACAGATACTCGAAGTACAAATACATTGACTTAGTACACTAAAGACACAAGCAAACCAATGCAATGAGATAAGTTCTGTAATGATTCATGCAATGATTCAGCACAGATTTTTATTCAATTAAAAAAGGAAGTTTGATAATATCCAAGTTAACTTTAATTTTTTTTTTAAATATCAAAACAATTTTTATAAAATATAAAAACAATTTAACTAAATACTTAATAATAAAAGAAATCGTATGTAAAATGCTACTATATCAATTACTCATCATACATTAAACCAAGCTTTAACTAAAAACATATTGAAAATATGTTTTTAGTTAACACTTGAAATATATGTATATCTTTAAAATATATGTTTCACCTGATTCCTTGATTGAATAAAATAAAAAAATTATACAAACACGTTATTACAATTTTAAACTTATTTGAAAATAATTTATTCATTGCAATAATTTCGCAAATGGTGGAAAAAGCTACAAGAAAAAATAATGAAAAAATTGTCAAAAAAAACAACAACTAAGTACAGTTGGAGGAAAACATGTTCTTAGTTATGGACAACAATTTCAAATAATTATAAACTAAGAACTTTTAATAGCATTAAAGAAAAATAGTTTCATATTTTATATCTCTGCTTATTAAAATCATTTAAAAAAATGCTAATGTTAATTACTTTATAATAATGTTATCAACTCACAAATTTATAAATTACCACTTAATGCTAAGAAGACTAAGACATAATAATTAAAAATTAATAATAATAAAAATAAAATTAATACTAAGAATTTTAAGAAATTGTTTTATAAAATACTAATATAAAATTACTGATGTTACATGAAAAAAATTCTATTATAGAAAAAAAGAGCGCAATTTTAACTTTATTTATAAATCATTAATTTAAATGAATGAATGATTTATAAATAAAATTAAATTTAAGCAGAAGGATAGAGAAAAGTTTTTAGTTAAAAACTTACAAGTAAAAAAATAAGATTTAAAAAGGCTCCTTATTTTTTTTTCAAATTTTTGTTGGACACTTTCAACTGATTTAATCAATCCAATTTAGCGTGGCGACCATACTGGAGAACAATATTCTAAAATTGGTTGTAAATAGGTAGTGAAAGCTCTAACTAGAATACAAGGGTCACGTGTTTTAAAACATTTCAAAATTAAGTATGCTCTAGAGTTAGCTTGTGAATGACGTTAAAAATATGTTTTTTATAATTAAGGTTACAGTCCATTGTTACTCCTAGATCTTTTGGGTTTGAAGACCAAACTAAAGAATATTCACAACGAATATTTCCAATATAGACAACGGATGTTGTCTATATTGGAAATCAATATAGACAACATCCGTTATTTGATGGTTATCGAGTGCAGTGTTCCAATCATTAGCAGATTCTTTAGGTACTTTATGAAATACACATTGATCATTCTTTCCATGACTCTACAGCAAGTGCATATCAGTGAGATGGGTCTATAATTATTTGGATCTGCAATAGCTCCTTTTTTAAAAACTGGAGATACAAAAGCTTGGCGCCTTTGTTTAGGTAAAGAACTTGACTTAAAACTGGCATCAAATATAAATGAGAGTGGAATACACTATAGATGAGCTAATTTTTTCAGAAGTATGTTAGGTATGCCATCAGGACCATACGATGTGCTGGCTTTAATTTCCTTCAAAGATTTATACACTGCTTCTGGTGGAAATAGTACAGTTTCAATACCAATTGAATCATCAACATAACTATTAAGAAATGGAGAGCAATTGTTATCATTTGTAAAGACACTGCCAAAGTGTTTGTTAAACACGTCAGCGATTTCTTCGTTACTAAAAGTTATCTTGTTATTATTGTTTTTGTCTTTTAGAGGAAAAATACTTTTAGAGTTATTTAATTTCCTATTAACATAATTAAAAAATTTGCTGATATTGTTTTTCTTTACAAGTTTAAGTTCGACTCTCGTTTGGTAAGTAAGTAATGATTTTTTACATTTACTAGCGTATTTGTTATATGCTTTTTTGTGTGTAATGCTTTTAGTATTTGACCATCTTTTCTATAACAAAGCTTTACGATTTAACATTTTCCAGATAAAACTCGGTTAGTGTTTTATTTTTTTATTAAGATTACTCTTTCTAATTGGATTAAGTTGATAAATACCATTGCAAAAATAATTGGAGAAAACGTTCCAATAATCTTCAACTGTAAAAAAAAAGGAAAACTCGAAGTCTCAATTAATATTTAATAAATAAGACTGAAAACCATCAATGTCAGCATTAACGAAGTCGTAGAAGGATTCATTATTTTTATTTAACTGATCGAGATCTTTTATATTAATAGAGAAGTGCACAGTGTTATGCTCACTGGTACTGAAAGGACATTCAACTGAAATAAGTCTAAGAAATGAGATAGTATTTTAAAATACAAGATCAAGAATATTGTTTTCACGAGTAGGTTCCTGTACAAATTGGTGCAAACCGAGATTGTTGACTAAATTTAAAAAAAGGATATGGCACTTTTCGTTTGGTGATACGTAATTAAGCCAGTCCATTTTAGGAAAATTGAAGTCACCGACAATAACAAATTGAGATACAGAGTGGCATAGATTATATATAAATGCAGTCATAAGTTCAATATAAGCCACATTGGCAATGGAGTAAAAAGGTGGGCGATAGCATGTGATTAAACGAAGATTATGCAAACTAAAAGTCTATATAGACGATGTCAATATCCGTGTCTGTGAAATAAAATTCAAAAGTTTTCTCATATTTATAAATTTATTATACACGATTGTTCCATATGCTGCCTGCAAACTCAACATATGCATAAGACGTTTACACTAACAGACGTTTCTCGCATTGCTATACAAATGGCAGAACTAAGATGATCTTAGACCATAAACTTAATGAACTATTTTGACTTTTGTTCTTTTTTGTAGTGTTCATTAGTGAAACTTAGCGCTGCGTAATTTATGGACGATCCCTAATCTAAAACTTAAGCCAAAAAAATTATGGAATATACTATTTTGATGGTTATCTAAATTCTATCATTGTTGCACACTCAGTTTAGAATGTGTAACGGGGGCATGGTAAAATAACTGTAAAACTCTAAATTTCCTTATTATACCAATATTACATAATTTTAACTTTTAATTATTTAAAAATTATAAATTTCATAAAATAGTTTATTTTAAATATAAAAATAGAATTTTCAATTATGTTCTTATTAAAAACATACTTTTTAAACTTCCTTGTTTAAAAAAAAGTTAAATGAAAACAAATGCTACAGATCAAAATTAAGGAGAGGTTGATGAAATCCAGTTTCAAGTGAAAGTAAAACTGTAAAACTTTATATATTTTTCAGTATGTCTTAACATTACATAATTTGAAGTTTACATACATTAGATATTTGCATACACTTTCATTCATGTATTCTTATAAAACAAAGCTGCCACAACTCTTTCTCGCCATTACCTCTATTGCAATGGCTGCCAAGAGTTCTTTGTCAAACAGGCTGGAAAGGGCACTACTATTAAGTTCAGTATTATTATATAGATTGTCAAAATAATATAATAAATACTTTTTATTAAAATAGCAATAAAGTAAGAACTTCAATCATTTATGAAAAAAGGATTTTTACCACAATTAAAATAAAACCTGAATAAGTGTAGCAAAAAAAAAAAAAAAAAAAATAGAGCTTATGTCATATATAATATTCTTCAGCATAGCAAAAAAAATAACAGAGTTAACATCATGTATACTATTCGTCAGCAATATAATAAAGTAGCATATTGTAAACAATAAAACTATTTTAAACACATTTTCAAAATTCAAATGAATTTATGAAAATTTAGTATATTAGTTTTCAAAACAATTTCCAGATTATTTATCAAACCTTGTTTTTCAAAAACTTGATTTTTTTTTTCAACCGGTCAAACATGAACAATAAGAACTTATTTTGGGAGTTCAAACTAGAAACTTCTGTCATTTTGGGAGGTCATCAACCATTGACTGGCTGTTATTTTCTGCACTGTTGCTTGCCCAAACCAAACAATCAGTCAATGTAGCCATATTTCCTTGTAGCAACAGGCTATAAGATAGTCGATCTAGCAACACTTCGTTGTAGCAGCAGGCTATAAGATAGTTAATGTAGCAACACTCCGCACAAGTTTTACAGTTAAAAAAGCAACAATCCTCGCATGTTTTAAAAATATTGTAAAAATAAAAAACACTGTTATTTAAAAAAACTTTTTAGTCATTATTATTAAGGTCTTTTTTTTAAAAGAAAAAAAAAAACTTAATCTATTTTGGCATTATTTTAATTGTTTTAACTTTTAAACGACATTAAAATGTTGCTTAATTATTGATTTTTAAATGTTTGTTTAAATGTTTGTGATACTTAAATGATACTTGAATGTAAAAAAAAAAGTGTTGAATGAGACTTTTTTTACTATTAAAGTCTCGACTACTATATAAGGATATATATATAAAGATATATAAATAGATACATACATAGATATATAACATATAAAAAATGTAACAAAAGAATAATATAAGTAAAATATTACTTGGTGAACAATACCATCAATTTCTACAGGAACAATAAAGTCTGCATTTTCAACTGGCTAAATTTAAATTTGAATTTTTTATTTATTGTAAATCAAAAAAATTAATTTTAGATCATAAAATGCACAATAAAAAGAATAAAGCACAATAAAATCAGAAGAAAAAAAAGAATAACCCTAAATATATTATGACTCATACCTTAAACGAACTATGAACAAGCGTTTCATCTAGATCAATAACAACACATTTTTTATTTTGATCTTGTCGAGTAAGAGCAGGAAGAAGATAAAATGATTCAATTGTCTAAAACAACATTTAAAATAATATGCCATTTTTTTTATTTTTTTTTATATATGTTTTTAATTGGTAATATTTATTTTTATTATATTATCTTACTTGTTTTTATTGTTTTTTAAGAGAAAAACAATAAAAATAAGTATTTTCATGTCTCCATTTAGAAATTAATTCAGTTTTTTTTAATTTAAATGTCAGATAAAGTGTATGGTGTATCATGATCACCCTGCTACTGGTAACATATAACCCAGTGCAACCTCAAATGTAGATTACTTTATATTTATGTTTGTGTTCTGTCTAAACCTCTGGCACAGTGTTTACTCAACCAAATTGTTGGGATCTGTATATTTGAATTTCTGTCTGAACCTCTGGCGCGGTGTTCATTCACCCTTAAGTTAATTTATGTATGTTTGAGTTCTGTCTGAACCTATGGTGCAGTCTTGCTTCACTCATATGTTACTATATTTATGTTTGTGTTCTGTCTGAACCTCTGGAGCAGTGTTCACTCAACTGTAAGTTACTTTATGTATGTTTTGTTCTGTTTAAATCTCTGATGCAGTGTGAGCTCAGTAACCAACTAGTGACTCCAACTATAAAACCTATGCTCACCTTAATCTCTAGTATTTTGTTAGATGTAATTTTTTCTAAATGCATTTCCAAAATATTTCCATCATTGATTTAAAGTACTGCCTACAGGAAGTAACTCTATTTAACTATTCTAGGTCAGGTCAGGTTTATGATCATTACAATTACCCAGCTACTAGTATCATGTAACCCAGAAATACCTGCCCCATACCCTTCTGTCTTGTAGGGTTTGCTTTTTAAAGCAAAGACTGATTAAAAATCCCCTGCATTGGAGCTCCTGGTTGAGTACAAGCTAGAGATGGTGTTTCAATAAAAATACTTATCTTAGGCAGATGTAACTGCATCCAGCAACAATCCTGTAAAAAGCCTCCTAGACAAAGACTTTAGGGGTAAGCAAACTAATTCTGTTGACCGCCCTCGAACCCCTTTTTCATTTAGCTGGTGTAGATGTAAACTTGGTGTAAATGTAGTGTTAAATTGTTTCATACATAAGATGATGATTGCTGGATCTTTTTGACTATGCTAATAGATTTTTCCTTGTGCCTCCTTGATAGTGGCTATGCAACTCTTCCTGTTATCTCCTAATGAGGGTACAACTCTAAAACTCAATTTAATGGTTCTGAGGCTGACTGGTAGTAAGGTTTCTGGACTCTTTGGTAGCTCTAAGAGGCTGATTCCATCAACAGCTGAAAAATATCAGAGTATTAATAGTGACAATTGCGCATGGATGGTATCCCTGTTAATACTTTTGGTGTGGATTATTGAGACCAAATAAGGAGCCCTACTTTGGGTTAATAAATGGGACTGAGACATAAATGGGACTGCATAGCTCATTGCTTGGAATGCAGTGCTCTGTCTATAAATGAGTCAAGTTCTCTTAAAAATTAAATCATGCTTAAAGTAAACCAAAATATTGAACATTAAAAACTATCCCCACCAATTAACTCTTTCAATATATCTTTCACAAATATTTGTGGTCTGCAAAGTAACCTTATGTTAGTTGAATCTTACTTATTTTAAAATTCATCAAACTTGCTTGCTCGTTGTGAGACAAATTTAAATTTAACTGTGCCTTTATCAGATATTGGTATCTTTTAATTATCAAAGAATCTAACTGCCACATGCTTGGCTTAGATGTATACTTATACACCAATTCACTTATTTGTTGAAAAATCATGTTTAACACCCTTGATCATTCTTTTATGTGCTTCCGCTTAGTACCTTTTCACTCAATCACCTTTCACTCTTTGTTCTTTATTGTTCTCTTTCTTCTCAAGAAAAAAGAGTTCAGACTCTTTTAGATGTAACTTTTGATCAAATTGAGCATGGCCTTTCTCTTCACCCTTCAGTCAACATTGTTGTTATTGATGATTTTAATGCTCATCACACTGAATGGGTTAGCTCTAACATCACTGACCATGCTGGCACTAAAGCCTATAACTTCTGCATTTTTTTAATCTCTTAATCATATAGTTTGTGACTTGTTTTCTAAACAACTAACCACTTACCTTCATTACTTGATTTGTATCTTGTCCCTGACTCTAGCTTGGGTTCAGTTGCTTCTTTTTTTCCCTTAAATGGTTCTAACCATGCAATGATCTCTATAAATCTTTTATCTTGTTCTTCTTTATCTGACATACCCATGATCACACTACTACCCTAAAGCTGACTGGGATTCGTTTTAAGATTTTCTTTGCAATGGTCCTTAAGCAGATGTCTTTTTTATGATAAATGGATCCTGGATCCAGGCAGGAATGGAAGCTTTTATTTCTTCTTGTTGGTTAAAGTCAAGTTTCATTTTACTTCATGATTTTCACCTTCTTGTGCAGATGCTATATCTAATTGTAATCACTTTTTTTTTTTGAACAATTAACTTTCTAACTAACTCTCTTGAGAACAAACACCTATTTATTATTAAAAGAAATCAATGAAAAAAGGTGCTATCTGATGCTAAGCTTGATTACTCTCAGTTACCTAAATCTTGTACCTTATCTCAGAAGTTAACCTCTAGAGACTTTTGGAAAATCTTCAATGGCGCCAATAACAAGAGTAGGTCTAACATTACATCTCTTACTCATGGAACTTAACTTATGAGCAAACAACTTTTCTTCTAATTTAAGCCTTGAATCTTATGGCCATTCTCTTCCTTCCATTCCAATTAAACAAGTTAACCAATTGTTAGACATTCAAATCATTCCGGCTTCCACTGCTAAAGTTATATCTCAATTAAACTTTTCTACGGCTTGTGGTCCAGCCAACATACCTTCCATAGACTTATAAAAGTGTTGCCCAGAACTCTCTTCAATTTTTTCTATTTGATAAGTTCTATTTAATAACTTACTGTCAGACAATCAATATGGTATTTAATCTCTTCACACTACAGCTGACTTGCTAATTGTTGTGATTGAAAGACTACATTGTGCATTAGATGGAGGCGGAGAGGCTAGGGCTATTGCTCTTGACATATCTAAAGCTTTCAACAAAGTTTGGCATGCTGGTCTTCTCCATAAGCTTTCTTCATATGGTGTATCTGGGAAAGATTTTTTGAGATTATCAAATCATTTTTTTCTAACTCATCCTCAAAGGCCAACACTCTTTATTTCCAGTAACTTATAGGGGAATTTATATAAGGTTCTATCCTTGGTCTTGTTCTGATTCTTATATACATTAGTGATCTTCCTGACAACCTTATATCAAAAGTAACTCTATTTGCTGATGAACTTTATACTGCTGTCTTGACAAAAAGTCTTCTCTTTTTCATCCTTAAAACAGGCAGCCAATCTCGAATCTGATCTTATTTCGGTAACAGATTGGGGCTCACAGTGGCTTGTAAATTTGAACTCCAACAAAACTCTGTTACTTACTGCAAACAACTATCATAATACTGTTGACATTCCTATATTAATGAATGGAAACTCTCTCACCGCGTCCTCTTTTTTACGTCTTCTTGGATTATTGTTTACTACTGAGTTTTCATGGAAGCCATATATACAATAGTCTTCTTGGATTATCATTTACTACTGACTTTTCATGAAAGCCTTATATACAATAGATTACTAAATTAGCATCCACTAAAGTTGCTCCTGAGTCTATTCTCCATCTTTACAAATCTCTTATTTGTCCCTGTATGAAATACTGTTGTCATATTTGGGCTGGTTCTTATAATGATGCACTTACTCTTTTAGACCAATAACACATTGTAAATGTAACTGGACCTTTATTTGCCAAGCTTGAGCCTCTCTCCCATTGTCATAAAGTTTCTTTCTCTTTTCTACAAATACTATCATACTCAAAGGAGCTATCACCTCTATTTCCATAAACTAAAACTCATTCTCACTTGACTTGTCATTCCTCTAAAAACTTTTATTCATTTAGTTTTCCCCCACACTTCACGCTTTGGAACTCTGTCCCATCTTCATGTTTTCCTGACTCATACTGCCTACAATTTTCCAAGTCTTCAACCGTTTCATTGCTCTTTAACTCTTTTTTTTTTTTCAATCCCAACTTAATAGTGGTTGCTTGCAGCCTTATTGTGAGTGAATCTTAAAAACTTAATAGTGATTGCTTGCAGCCTTATTGTGAGTGAATCTTAAAAACTTAATAGTGGTTGCTTGCAGCCTTATTGTGAGTGAATCTTAAAAACTTAATAGTGGTTGCTTGCAGTCTTATTGTGAGTGAATCAGAATACAAAAATAAAAATACAAAAAAAATCAGAATATAAAAGTAAAAAAATAAAGATTCTTGGTTTGCACAAATAATTATTTCAAATTTTTATAATAACAATTAACTAAAAAAATGCATAAATGAATAAACAGTAATTTTATTTAAAAATTAAGAATAATTTATTTAAAATGAAATAAAAGACTATTTATCAAAAATAAAATAAAAAATTATTTAAAAACAAAATCAAAAAATCTTACAGATGATTCTTTTAGTTCTTCATCTTTTACATCATCCTCACATTTACAATATGCAGTGTCATTGTTATTTGGTTGTTGCTGTGTTATTATTGCCGCCGTATTGTTGATACTTGCTTGTGTCACTTGAATTGTTTTTTTTTTAAATGGCTTTAATGTTTTTTTTGAGTGGAAGCAACAGAATATAGTTGATATTATTCCACGATGTTTGCGTTTTTTATAGGACGGAATTAATTCTAAATAAATAAGGTTTATGTGATAAAATTAGTACAACTTGACAACTTTGCAAAATTAGTACAGAATTTGTCAACATACTTGTCAAGTTTTTGCCAATGAAAAAAAGTTACAACCTTAGATAACTAAATAAATCTCTAAGATATATATATTAAATATCTTCAAGCAATTGCTTGTTAGCAATAGTAGTTAAAATTGGTGTTGAAAATCTACAAAAATCAATAAAGTTAGTAACATTGTAAACAACTTAGATAAATTTGTTGTGAGTTATTGTTAATACAACTGTTTATTTATATTTATATTATATAACTGTTAATTACTGTTGTATTCTAGTTGGCCATAAAAAACAAAATTCATAATAAATATCAGAAAACTTAGAAAAGCAATTAAGTTAGTGATATTCTAAAAATCCAGCAAATCGATAAAGTTAATCAATTAAGTACTCTTCCTTTCTTTTACTAATTCAAGTGGGTTAAGTGGACCATGAATATTATTACTTTATAAAAAACTTTAAAAAATTTTTTAAATTTAATTCAATTGTTTTAGTAAGGGTTTCCAAACTCTGTGGTAGCTCTCAGAGACTGATTCCATCAACAGCTGTAAAATATCAGAGTTTTAACAGTGCCAAGTTGTGCATGGATGGTGTTTCTCTTAGCACTTTTGATATGCATTGATGAGACCACATATGGAGTTCTTTGTTACAAGATTGGGTTGATTAGCAGGAATAAAGTAACAGCAAAGCTTATTGCTTAGGGTGCCACGCACTATTTGTAAATGAGTCTTTTAATTTAAAACATTTAATTTTTCAATTTTAAAAATATTATATACAACACTTTTTAATAAATTTGATAAAATGTGTTGATTTTTTAAACAAACATTAGTAGTAATTTGTTACTTAATTTTAAAAACGTTTTGCATAACTTTAATATAACCTTTAAAAAGATAAGTTTCAATAACATTTATTTCTAACGTAATTAAAAATGTAACAAAAAGTTTCACTTCAAGTTTAAGTTTTTATTTTTATTTTAGTGCTTATATAATTTTTTTTTTTGTAAGGATTTTTTTTAACTTTAGCTTAGCGTTTCTACATTCAGCACATTTTTGAAATGTTCAAATCATCAAAACATATAAACAATCATGGTCAAGTTGTCAAAAAATAAAACCAATTGCGTGGTCAGCAATAGCGCTCGATCGCACACCATTCCTGCCCAAGCCTGTAGCTTGTGTTCACTATCTTTTTACTCTTCTTTAGGTGGTTCAGATCATGTTGATCTCACAAAAACATTTCACCCTATCACACTAACTCACCCTATAATTGCGTACTTTATTACTAGCTTACTTAAGACTGACCTTAATAACTGCACCTCCTTTATAATTCTAGATTTAGGGAGGTGTGATAGCTTTAACTCTTTCTCATCAGTTTTAGATAGATCCTACTCTACCCCATGGTTTACCCCCCCCCCCCCTCAAATAAAAAAAAAACAAAAAACAACAAGTTAATCCACTGTTAGACATCCAAATAACTTCTGCTTCCATTGTTATTTCTGACATGTGGTCAAAACAACATTCCTGTCATAGTCTTACAAAAAAAGTTCTCCAAAACTCTCTTCATTAAAATCTTAACTATTGTATTATCTGAATTTTTTTTTCCTGCCCGCTGGAAAAAAAGACTCTAGAGATCGTTCTACAACCCCCTTAACTAATCATTATTAGCAAAGTCTTTAAGTTGGTAATTGAACATTGAATATTGAGTCACGCAACTCACTCTGAATCTTGCTTTTTTGCCTGCTGGTAAAGAGCATCTGTAGTTCTAATATTAACCTTCAAATTGAGGAGCATAAAAATGAAAATATTAGTGTAAAGAACTTTAATGTAAAGTACTTTAGTGTAAAGCATGTATGTCCAGTTAACTAAAGACACTTTGGATTTGGCAAAAACTAAAATCTCACTGTCTGAAAGAGAAAATTGAGTTTGAAGTTTGACTGTCTCTGCAATATTTTCAACATATTTAATATGTCAGTTGAATAAAATGATGGGTAAATACCTGTCTGTTTCATTCAATGATATAAATTTGATTTTTTATAGATTTTACATGTTCTTGTTAAAATAAAATCATTTTGGGGGGTTTTGTTCAAAATGTTTTGTTCCTATTTGAGGCTCAAAATTATTAACTAGAATACAATATTTTACACACCAGGCCTTCTCGTAAGAGGCGTGCAATCGGATGCTTTATATGACCACGCATATAGTTCTTTGTTTTAACAACTTGACCACTGCTCTTTGCAAGTTTCGATAATTAGCGTGTTTAAAAAATGTGCTAAAAGAAAACAAAGCAAATATAAATTATCAAAACTTGCAATGAGCCATGGTCAAGTTGTTAAAACAAAGAACTATATGCGTGGTCATATAAGGCGTGCGATTGCACGCCTCTTACGAGAAGGCCTGTACACCATTTTAGCACTGCCAGTTTCCATCAAGATGTTACAAAGATCACTACAACTTTTAAAATATAAATATTTAAAATATAAAAAAAGTATAAGGAGATAGCGTATTTAAAGGTCTTTCAGTAGAAGGAATGAAACAATTATTTTTTTATATGACTAATTTACGGAGTTTCAAGCAAGGCAGGCAGAGCAACCGTTTTTACTATTTTGATGGTGGAATAATATCAACTATATATTTTTTACTGTTTTGATGATTCTTAATTCTTTCAGTCTTTAGAATATCTTTTCTGTCTGTCCCATATGTAAGTCTACAATATTTTTGCTTAATAAGGTCATAAGGATACAAAAATAAGGGCAACCAAGTTTCTTATTTCTGATTACAATAAATTTTGAATGTATTGAGACCACAACAAATAAAACAAAACTTTAGACTCTCTTATTTAGTGTTCCTAATGATCAAGTTCCAATTACTTAAAATTCTAATTACTTAAAATTCCTTTGAATGACTTTTTAGCATAACTTTTGAACAAATCAATCAATTTTAAAAATTCAAAGTCCAATATTTTAAAATTTTACTTTTCTTAGGAAGAAGTTTGGAAGCTTTTACTTAATTATATTAAACAATTATATTAATTATATTACAAAATGCCCAAGTTTCCTAAAGCTCATGAAGACTGCAGAAGTACTGTCAGCTTTCTGTGCATGAAAAAATGTGTTAGACAAGAGATAGATTTCATAAAGGAGAGAACCAAGGTCCTGCTCAAACAAGAGATTGACTTCACTGATCCAAGTTAGCAAAAACTAGACAGAGATCAAATCAATGGTAATCTCATGAGAATGTACAATTTTCAAAGCATCGTGATCACAAGAAAGCCTTACTGACTGTTCATGCTTCATTTGTCAAGCTGGCAGACCAAAACACAATCAGGCTCCCCTTGTTGCATCATATACACCCAGCAGCAATCCACAAAGCTCTTCCTAGGCACCTCAAAAGCTGTTCTCTCTTTGCCTAACAATGCTTATAAAAAGGCTTTTGTGCACCTCGCTGGTGCACAAAAGGATCAAAATTTGAAAATTTGAAAAAGATGGTGCAGACTGACTCTGAACTAGGAGAAAAACTGGCTGCATCTGTCATTGAGCAAAAAGTTGCATAGCCTAAAGGAACTAAAAGACTGATCATTAATGTTCCTCACTCTTAGACCTTCTTGCCAAAACTAGGAAAAGAACTCCATGCTCTTAACAGGCAACATGGTCAAGTTTCAAATCAACACTAGTCTTTCCAACAACAAAATCAGAGGGCTTGCATCAACTCACAACAAGTCATTTGGAGCCAGGTTGGTGTAATTAAACTTCAGGGATAAGTTTGCCAGTGTCTGAATGAAGTTGGAATCTTTTTTCACCACATCAACTATTTATGATGCTTCAAAAAAATAAAACTTCTCAACCAAGGTTGAGCATTGCATAGGTTTGTTTAAGTTTTTTTAAATGATGTTTAAAGAAAGATGAATTTTTAAATCATCATCAAAATCAAGATTGATAATGGTAGAAACTTCTTAAAGTGCAGCTTGAGTATCATTGACACCAGAAGATCCTACACACAGACTGCAAATCAAAAGAGAACAACCATCAGTGGCTCCACATCTGGATTCTGGTGTCAGGCAGCAACTGATTGTGGTCATAGCCGAACCCCTTCTAAAAAAAATACAATAACTTCAACTCAATCTTTGCTGATTTAGGGATTGTCAGCACATGAAGCAGTCCTTATACAGTTTTAAAAGTTTTGATATTCTTTGTAACATCTTGATGGAAACTGAAAGTGCTAAAAATGGTATATAAAATTTTGCTCTCTTCTTGATATGTTTAAGCCTCAAATAGGAAAAAAAAAATTGAACAAACCTCAAAACAAACCCCAAAAATGGTTTTACTTTAATGAGAACATGTAAAATCTATGAAAAATCAAATTTATATCATTAAATGAAACATAAACAAGTATTTACCCACCATTTTATTCAACCAACATATTTTTTATGTTGAAAATATTGTAGAGACGGTCTATCTTCAAACTCAATTTTCTCTCTGATAGTGTAACCAGGTTTTAAATTTTTATGCCAAATAAACCCAGAGTGTCTCTAGTTTACTGGATATATTATCATTTTTTTGCTCCTCAATTTGAGGGTTAGGGAAAAATTTGGCAAACTGTGTACTTTTAACCTTCATACCTTTACAAAAATTGTTCACTAAATATATTAATCATGACAGTAGCACTTAAAAATACAACTTTTGTAAACAATTATGTTACAATAATTTTTATATGTAAATTGTAACAATAATAAAAATGTAATGTGTGACTTTAATAAATAATCAGCAAGCTAATTATTGATAAAATTAGCAAAGCTAGTTATTGACCCAAATTAATATTACCATAAAAACTTTTATAAACAACCTTATAATAGGATGAAAGTTAAAAAATTCAACAAAAAACTTGCTTTGTTATATATTTTATTACAATCTAACAAAACAATACCATCCTCCAATCTAACAAATTATCTAACAAAACAATACCATCCTCCACATGGCAAATACTATCCTAAATTGGGTGAATCAGAGCAAAATTTAAATTTGAATACAAAATAAAATTTAAAAAGTGTAATCATAAACTCTTTATTTATTTAAGTTAATCTTGGTTATTTTTTGTTCATAATTTTATATAATGTAAAAAAAAATCATTGTTTTAATTTCATTCACACACACAAAAAAAAAATCTTTTGTTCAAAACATTTAAAAACCAGAGACAAAGAAAAAAAAAAAAAAACAGATTTAAAGCCAAAGTCTATTAGACATCCCTGATGAGAATAAGTTGACATTGAAAAAAAATAAAAAATAAAAGTTATTATTTGTTACTTATTTTTGATAACAGAACATAACAAAACAAGAAAAAACTTTTTTTCTTCAAATTAATAATTTATAAGACTTGAGTTAACTTATTTGTTTTTAAACCATAAAAAGTTATTTTATTCGGACATGTATTTCAACAAAATTGTTTAAAAAAAGATTTAAAACTAAAAATAATTTGTTATAGTTTTAAATAAAAATATTGGCAATACAACATATCAATAATGCATTATTTGGATGTATATAAAAATTTTTATTTATATAGGAGCACTTCTATTATTTATATAACAGTTATTCTATAATTTATGTTTGTTTGCACAAAAAGACAGAAGAAATATTACTAAGAGTGTTAGATGACGAAATGGAAGAAAAAAGGCTCAATATAAACATGAATAAGAAAAAAATTATATATTTTAGAGAATAAGTGAGCAAACTGGAAGACCACTGGAAAGTGGTCATATAAAGTGTGTAGTGGTTAGAGCAAATATTGTTTGCAAAATTTGTAAGCAACTAGTTCAAAAAAAAAATTTAGGTGCTCTTAATATTGTTAGTCTAATATTGTGTAAAAAATGTACTTTTGATGAATTTCAAACATAAATATATACAGTGTAGGTCACTGTATATATTTATGTTTGAAATTCACCTGTTTTTAATATTTCTGAAAATAATAAGTAAAAATCAGAAAAATCAGAGTTTTTTTAAAATGGTTTGAAATATAACATACTGAGTAAACCTAAAGTGGTTGCTATAGTATATCTGGACTATTTATTAATGTTAAATATACTATAGTGGAGTGTTAATACAGTCAAAAATTAGCATTTGTTTTTTTAATGTTAAATTAGAATGTTTATTCAGCAAAATTTTGTATATGACTTAAGGATCTTAGATCAAAGAACTAAACTCTTTGCAAACTCAAGTCAATACTAGAAAAATATTATAGTAATAGAAAAATATTTTGGTGAAACTTAAATTCAACACCATAACAGTTAAACTAAAAAGAAACCATATCAGTTTATAACCCATTTAAAAAAAAAAAAAATGGTCTTATATTGTCTTTTTTTAATTATATTCTAATTATATCAGCTATATACTGTTACCTTTTAGTCTAGGATATGTATCTCCTTAAATTAGTCAATTTATATAAACTTAAGTTTTTTCTCTTCTCTTTCCTACAAGTATTTAATTTTCAGAACTCTTTACATGTTTACATCTTTAAGAAGAATATACTTTGAATATAATATCAGCAATATACATTTGGTTCTCAATTTTACAAGAAAATACAAATATATTCTGAAAACTTTTAGTTACAGATATATTATTTATACATTTCTTAACATTGTGTTGTATCTTTTAATCAATTGAGTATTTTACACAGCAGAATACTACGTTCAGTATAAAGACCAGTTAGTTAATAGACAACCTTGCTAAAAACACTATTTATCTGGCTTCCAAAAACAAAAGGAATAAAAAAAAACTGTAAATCAAAATTTAACAAATAATGTCAGTTTATTAAGCTATAAACCATACTTCATTAAAATAATTGTAGTTAAATATTGAAGCAAAATTTTATAATTTATTTAATTTAAATTGATTATTTAAAGAAATTCATGAATTACCACTTTCGTTTAATGTTGAAACATGATTTCCATGTGGATTTAAAATTTCGCATTCCTCTCTTTGTACTTGTGTAATGATAGACGTTTCATCCATAAGAAGTTGCTGATACTGAGCAGCTTCCAGTTTTATTATTAACAGTATGATATCGTAGTAAATTGAAACTGCTTTAATGTTATTATTGAATATAAAAATATGAAAATATAACAATGCCATATATAAAAAGTAACGATCGGTTAGCACTGTCTTTGTATTTATTATTTATTTATTAATTGATCAAGTTATCTCCGTGATAAATAAGATTTAAATAAGGTTCGGTAAAATGGGCGGACATATATATTTTTTCAAGACTGAGGCCGGCACTGCCGCTTTTTGACTTTAAACCGTATACAATTTGGAAAGCCTAAAGAAATGTGTTTCTGCCCATAAATGTTGGGAGAAATGGACTGATAAATAAACCTTTGAATTAATAGCTTACATATTAAAAACGAATTACTATTCTCATTTAACAAATTTAATTGTGCAAATTAAATAATTCTTTTAATACAGTATTTTAACTTGCTCTATAACTTCAAAAAAGAAAAAACGAATGCATCTTGTGAAAATTACAGTCTAAATAAAAAAGTTCTTTTTTATGAACTTATACACACACACACACACACACACACACACACACACACACACACACACACACACATATTATATTATATCATATGTATATATACATATACATACATATATACATATGATATAATATAATCATCTATCATGTAATGAAACTTAATAGCTCTAAATGTAAAATCATTAGAATTAACCCTATGTGCTCTGAAAATCAAGTTACACATTCTCTCGTACTTAACAATACTGAGCTTGAAAAAGTCAACAGCCAAAAATACCTTGGAATCATGCTCAATGAGAATCTTGATTGGTACCATCATCAGTACCATATCTACTCAAACGCCTTAAGCAAATCGGACACACTCAGCTCAACTTTTTACAAGCCTATAGATCTCACGCTATTATTCACTTGATATAAAGTGCTCCTGCTCTTACTTTGTGCAGTCCTGCTGCAAAAAAAGAGATGCAGCATTTCCATAAAAATGCTCTAAACATTATTAGAATTGATGTAACCAATTCGAGCAATTTCCATTTTAGTTTTGCCATTGAAGAGTTACAAGATCTGCACTAATTTACTTTAAAAGATCCTTGCTGACTCATGCCATCCTATAATCACTATATTAGCTCACACTAACAGCAGAAACCCAAACAGATTCCCATTTGCTCTGAGGTCATGAATAATACGGAGATATTCAAAAATATCTCCGTTTTCTTCGTGACCTCTACCTGCCACGAAAGATCGGGAATCCCACTGCCATTCCATTCGTCAATAATGTTTTTATGCATTATGGCAATCTTCTATTTAGTATTTAATGATGGATAAAATTGTACAATTCATTACTTGTAATACTTTTCAATTTTAAATAAAGATTTATAAATAAATAAACAACTTTTTAAAAAAGTTTTTAAGAAAAGTCAATCAAATAGAAACAATAAAATTGCTATTAATTTAGCAACAATTTAATATGAAAAATATTCCTAATGGTTTTGTTTGATTGCTTCAAATTGTTATTATTTATTTTTTAAGATGTTTAAGATGTAACATTTTAAGATGTTTAAGATGTAACATCGTCTAATTTACATTTAGATGTTTTTGGTAGAGCAGTCACCAAATAGTATTAAAGATATCCATTAAAAAAGATGTTTCAGTAACACTTTTTTTTATCGACAAATGAAAAATGGTGAAAAAGAACCAAGAAATTGGTTTTTACATTTTAACTCGACAAGAAAAATTTTCAGCTTCTGTTGTCGTATGTTTTCATTGAGAAAAATTCTTTGGATTTTCTGATTATGCACATACAGGAATACGGTTATCTGAATATGAATCTTTGGAGGAACATCTTGAATCATGGTAAAAGTGAACAAAATTTAACTTTTAAAAGCAGCAACAAAAAAATCTTCAAACCCAATAGTTGTAATTTTATAGGAGTTTATGCTTTCTGGTTTTATCCTTGGCTTGAAAGTGCTTTTAAAATCAATTACTGAAACGGAAAAAAGAGTTACAGCATTTTTTTTTTTGTGAAGTTAAATACAAAATTATCTTACAACTAGCTTCTCGAGTTTTACATGTAATAGTAAATTATATTAATCATAAAAATACCTTTCCGTAATTATAAATTCTACACCCAATTTTCGCAAAAAATACCAGTTGTCCATCATTATTTGTTATGTAAAAATAGCAGACCAAGTGTTCAAAATATTTTCTTAAGCTTTATAAATATAATGTCATCAACTTAAACAAATTTAGCAAACGCTCTTACTATTTTATTCCATACAAGGACGGATTTGAGATTTGAAGTGTTAAAGAAAAAAATCCGGAGTCTTAGCAAATGCTTATTTTGCAATGGATTTTAGTTTCCAAGAAAAATTGTAAGTAAGAGTGAATCCTAGAAGACAAATGATTGATGGCTCTTTGAGCAATCGAGCAACAGACAACCTAGATCTTTCTATATTTATAAACGGTAATATATCATTTATAAATATAGGAAGATCTAGACTGTTGCAATAAAGATTAGCTGAAATGATAGGAAGATAATATATAGAAATATAGGAAGATCTAGAATGTTGCAATAAAGATTAGCCCCATGCTGTAGCAGAAGTGAGATCCTTTTTAAGTTCGAATGCTTCCTCCAAACAATCAGATAATGTTAGCTTCTTATGAAGACAATAATAAATGGTAGTATCATCAGAAAACAATACCACCTTAGATGTGAGAATTTCTGGGAAATCAGTAATGCAAATTAAAAAAAGTATGGGACCAAGGATCTTGAAGAACCCCCTGAAGTTACAAAAAATGAAGTTGAGTGGTGTCTATTGAGGTCAACTTTTATTGTACGCTTGGTAAACAGTTACTTAATAATCATAAAGATATTCCTGATACACCGTATGAAGAGAGCTTATGGAGAAGACCAGTGTGCCAAGTTTTATCAAAGAGTTTAGAAATGTTGAAAGCAATAGCCTAAACCTTTCCACACCTATCTATGGCACTATAAAACTTGTTGATTATTACCATTAATAAATCTGCACTAGAACAAAAAGATTGAAAATCGCAATAGATCAACCTGTTTGCTGGCCTAATTTTTGGTATAAAATAATAGATTTTGTAACCCGAGAATAGCGGGCCTTGGTACTAAACAAAATCTTTTTACAGTGATCTCTAGCAATATTAAACAAATGTCTATTTTTTGGAGAATTATTTTAGCGATAGATGCGGAAGTAATTGTTATTTCGATTGGAAATTTCAGCAGCACAATGATAGGAAAACCACGGAAAAGAATGAGACTTGACTTGGAATTGTCTAGAGGGAATAAATGATTCCATGCCAGCCATGCCATAAGAACCACAATTTTCAGCAAAGACAAAAGATTTTTACCCAAGGGTCATCACGAAGAAAATTTCGGAAAGAGTCCCAGTCAGCTTTAAAGTAGATGTAAGAGGCACGGTGATAGGGATATTCTGATGATAAAGAAGAATGAAATAATAGTTTTAAAGAAATCAAACCGTGATTATATAGCGTGCGGCGCAAATTTATAACCTCACCCGAAATTCAAGATCTTACAAATAATTAAATAAATATTTTTAAACTATTCAATTGCTTAATATCTTACTTGATTAAAATTTCATTTGTAATAGAATCTGGTTTCATTTTGTTAATTGGCTTGAAAATTTTAGAAAAGTGGTGGTGCAAAATTATAACCTCATTTCAATTATACTCTGCAAAATTCCATAATGGTTTGTATTGCAATTTGAATTTATTATTAATATTTTGTTTTACTGCCGCCATTTTGAATAACTTCAAATATTCGATTTGGCATGCTTTCCGAATGTTTTCTAAAATCTGTAAGAGATATGTTCTTCTAAACATGTACAATTGCCTTTTTCAATTCATCGACATTTGAATTTTGTTTTTCTTCTGCATAAACGCGTCTTACTAAGATGCCCCATACGTTTTCGATGAAATTTATGTCATGTGAGAGCGCTGGCAATTTTAATAACTAAATTTTCTTGCGGGCGAACCATGAAATATTTAACTTTGCTCTATGAACCGAAGCATTATCTTGCTGGAAAATAAAATTGGTGTTACCAAATTTTCGCAAAGTATCATTCAAATGACCATACAACAATTTCTTTCAGTATTTAATTTAGTAGAAATAAAGCCATTCAAAGGTTTTAAAATAACTGAACGCACCCCAAACTATTACTCCTCCACCTCTCATAGCCTATCTTTTTGAAAATATTTTCTCTTTTCTAATGTCATGTCAGTAGTAATTGAAGCCATCTAGACCATCAAGATTGAATTCTTTTCATCGGACAGCAAAATTTTTTGCCATTCTTTTTCCCAAGTCATGTGGTCCTTGGGCCTTTGAAGAAAATGCGTTTGTGCACTTCAGTTAGTGCTAGAGATGTGCGCTTTTTTGCATATCTAAGAACGTCTGACTTGTTATTTGCACGATTCACCGTTCATCTTGAGCATTTCAATCCCAAATTTGTCTCGCGGACATTGGACGCTTACTAGCGGCATGCGGAATTCGTTGCTGTTAACAAGTAGTAAGTATAGGTTTTCTACCACTTCGATGCTTTGTGCAATAATTTGTAAAATCATTTCCAAAATTATTGATCAAACGTGGTGAGCGTCTCAGTTTGCAAACAAATGCCCTGTTTGATAATAATAATAATAATATATATATATATATATATATATATATATATATATATATATATATATATATGCGTAACAAACCTAGTAGCAAAGGAGACAACTAAATAAGCCCGAATTTCATAAGTGCGAATTGGCATAAATGAATAAATTTGCAAACATTCGAACTTGCATAAGTGTGAACTGACATAAGTGCGATGCAGTTGCGAAAACTGATACAAGTGCAAACTGGGATAAGTGCGAACTGGCATAAGTGCGCCAAAAAAATTTACAAACATTGGCATAAGTGCAAATTGGCATAAGTGCAAACTGGCTAATTTACAAAGCTGCTGCAAAAACTGGCATAAGTGCGAATCAGTTGCAAAAACTAACACAAGTGCGAACTGAGATAAGTACAAACTGGCATAAGTGCGCCTATAGAGTTTGCAAAGATTGGCATAAGTACAAATTGCCATAAGTGGAACTGTCATAAGTGATAATCAGTTACAAAAATTC